TTAGTCGACCCCGTAGAGGTACCATGCCAGAGGTACCATATTTTCAATATAGATTCTCCTAGTAAGTGACTAAGTGGGTAGCTAATGATAACACCAGTTATTAATGGGTTTTACTAGGGTAGATAACTATAACTATTAGTGGGTAGATAACTATACCTTTGACCAAGTGACTAGGGTTAGCCCACTTAGCCCATTTACTGGGCGAAAAGACACCACGAAAGCTGCGTGCGCTGAGGCCCAATGCGGCTTGAGCCCCGAGCAGCGCTTCACCTTCTATGACCATGTTCACACCACAGGTGCAGCGATCCAAACGGCGAAAGAGGGGCTTGGGCATGGAATTCCAAACCCTTGCCGCATACATCTAATTATATAATTAATCAAACAATTGAGTAATTAGTTAATGGATTAGGACTAACTATATAATTAGGTATTTGCTGTATACATACATGTATACATACATATATACATACATATATATATATAGGTTTACATACATACATATATGCATATGTATATATATATATACATATGTATATGTATATAACATGAACTATGGTTACTTTGAACAAATTTGGTTTTGGGAAAAACAAATCTTTCATCCACAGCTGCTGGCACTGCTGGCTTGCCAGGTATGGATGTGAAACAGCCCTTGTTGTGCACTGCGGCTCTCACCTTGAGCAAGGACCACACAACGTGGAAAGCTCCCTGGATCTCCCAGCAGGGCTTTCCAGGATCCAGGAAGGTTGTCGGGCTTGTTCCTGGTTTCGATATAGATTTGTTCCTACGTTCTTGTCGATTGGACCGCTTATAGCAGCTAAGCCATCCAGGTCCAGAATGATGAATCTATAGCTGCAGGAGTTTAGGATGCTTAGGCAGAAATACATCATGATACATCACCGTCTCAGATCCTTGCAGCGAAACGTGCGCAGGACATGACTTTACGGGACTACGCCCAGGGTGCGTACCGCATGCGCGGTATAGGCAGGGGCTGGGGATGGCTGGGGAAGAAGGACCTGATGGGGCTGCTGTATGCAGAATTGGTATACCTCTGAACTCGCAAAACGATACAAAGACAAAACATGATGAAGTCATACTCTGGAGGCCAAGCAAAGCTTTTTCTGGGTAGAATTGGTTCAAGTATCCCCACACCCTTAACCTACCCAAGGATCCGGGGGACCCCAAAAATGTAACATACAATAACTTTTTGGGGACCCACCCCCTGTAACATTGAGGGGGGAGCCTCCCAAAATGATCAAGCCATATCAAAGCATACATGTGGCAGGGGGACCCCCCCAAGCAGATGTTACTAACATAGACCTGGGAGGTCTATGATGTCTATGTTACTTTTTTGTTATTGTGTTAAACAAACATGACATAGCTATTGAAAATTGCCATTTGTAGTTGATTTACCTATTAAAAATTGTGATTTCCCATAGTTATGTTAGTTTACCAGAGGGTATGTGTTTTTAACACTGGTTATTTTGACACTGCGATTTGCCATGCGCATATGCATCTGCCAAAATTTGTAAGATGCAGGGTGTGGAATTCGGAAACACTGTGTTTTTGCAGGGTTTGGTAACCCTCCCATGGCCATGTTACAATTTCGACCAGTTTTTTTGTTGAAGAGACAAAGTTTTTATTGAGGAACTTCCCATATTTAGTTTTAAGGTGCGTGGATTCCTATGGTTTCATATATAGCCAAAAAAATCCAACAGGGTCCACCTGTTGAACATAAATAAGTTGCTTTCATTTTTCGTTCTGAAATCACAATTTTGGTTGATTATAACATATTATAGCACTATATAGCACTGTCAACTCGATGTTTTTTCATTGTTTAGTCACCATTCTGGTCAATTCTGGTCGGTTGCAATGGTTAAAATCAGTTCAATCACCACTTTCCTTATCTGTTTCCCCATGTTTTTGCACATTGATTGGCCATGGCTTGAGGCCGTGGACAACGTATCGAAGTCTTGCTGACGCCCGAGGTGAGGTCGCTGATGACCAAGCGCCTCGGCGGAGGGATGGGATGGGCGGGGATGGGTCTATGGGACCACAGATGACCAGAGATTTTAGTAATGGAAACCCTGGATTCATAAAATTTCATAAACCCAAACGGCTGTTTAATTGATTGGGAAGGTACCATGACTAAGGATCAAATCATGACTTTGGGGGAATACCCCCCCTAATTAAGAAACAATGTTTTTTTTTTCATCCGGGGTTGATATTATAGGTTTAAAACGGTTTAAACTTTAAACATGTTCGCTGCAACCCTGACGTTGCGCCGCGTCTGACTTCAGGTGGATATGAAGATAAAGTTGATGTTGTTGCCCCAATCAACATATTGTTCACAGGGGGTGGCAAATTTTGATCCCTTATGAAGATAAAGCTGATGTTGTTACCCCAATCAACCTATTGTTCATAGGGTGTGGCGAAGTTTGATCTCTCATGAAGATAGGGGGTGGCGAATTTTGATCCCTCATGGAGATATAGTTGATGTTATTACGCCATTCAAAATATTGTTCAGGGGGGTGGCGAATTTTGATCCCTCATGAAGATAAAGTTGATGTTGTTACCCCAATCAACATATCGTGCAGAGGGGTGGCAAATTTTAATGTGATGATGATCATGATGTGATGATGTGATGATGTGGTGGTGATGATGATGATGACGATCATCATCATGATCATGATCATGGTCATGATGATTGTAAGTGTGGAGCAACGTCCGGGTTGGGGCGAACATGTTTAAACCATCTGCCGATATAATATGATAACATTGGTAATTACCTAATTTTGACCATCCATCTATATGTGTTCTACTGGGGAGATATTTACGGGAAGTTTAGGGGTAGATTGTGTTTAATCGCCCCTGAATAAGGCCTCAATTGCTGAGGGGGTGACCTTAGTGGGGGCACCGTTAAACTTTGTTGAACTTCCGTGAGGCCCTGGGCTGTCTAGGAAGGGGATGATTTTAGTATATTATAATATGTTTTAGTAGCAAATCATCACTATTTGTGGAGGTACCCGAATGAATGGAGGTTTATTAATCAGGGTTTGTAACGTATTCTATTTATAGGATATTATGGGATTAGGATAGTCGAAGGAAGTTTAGAAGTCAAACTTCCGACAATATGGACAGATGAAAGCAGAGATGGGAACAGTCAGAGAGAAGAGAAGAGTAGAAGAGAGAAGAGTAGAAGAGAGAAAATCAGAGAAGAGAAATAGTCAGAAGAAAGAAGATGCAGGTGCGCGAAAAGGTAGGAAAGTCGCGAAACACTGTGCTTTTCCAATGATTTGTGGGCTCGCGAAGGCGGCAGGTGCGGAGCCATGTGGTCAGATGAGAGATGAAAAGTTGCACGCCGTTGTGGCGCGAAGCACATTTCCAAGTCAAAATGTACAAAGCACACCAGGTTCGGACCACTTTTGGAAGTTGACACGTCGGAAAAGTGCACGCCGTTGTGGCGCGAAGCACATTTCCAAATGTTCCAAGTCAAACTGTATAAAGCAACCCAGTATTGGACCACTTTTGGAAGTTGAGATGTCGGAAAAGTGCATGCCGTTGTGGCGCGAAGCAGATTTCCAAGTCAAAATGCACAAAACACTTCAGCCCTTGGAGCATTTTTAAGAGTTGCGACGTGGAAAAAGTGCACGCCGCTGTGGCACGAAGCACATTTCGAAGTCAAAATGTTAAAAGCACCAGGGCTTCGGACCACTTTTGGACGTTGAGATGTCCTTTTTCGCGTGGCAGGCGGAAGGGATTGTGCACCTTGTCAAAAGTGAGCAAAACGTGAGGGTGTTGTAGCATTTCCAAAAACGATGGCAGGCGTGGGACATAAGATGCATTTTCCGTGGCAGGCGCAGCACAAGAGACAGCTGTTAGGAGGTCCGGGCGCTGATTTCCTCAGAGGGGTTGCATTTTGGAGCCTCAGATCTTCAGGTGTGCTGAGATGATTTTGCGCGACAGGTGCAGCACTTCGTGTGGCCTGGCATCACTTTTTCGTGGCAGGCGCAATACTTTAGACAGGTCGAGTGGAAAAATCGCAAAACGCGTTTGTACGAGGCCGTCAGCGCTGCATGCAACTTTCCTTTTTTGAAGGAAGTCTCGCAGAATTGCTTCGTTTTTGATGTTGTCAAGTTTGGAAAATGAAGAAGTCTCGTAGACTTGCTTCGTTTTTGACGTTGTCAAGTTCAAACATGGAGGAAGACTCGCAGAATTGCTTTGTTTTTGATGTTGTCAACTTTGAAAAATGAAGAAGTCTCGCAGAATTGCTTTGTTTTCAAGCCTGCAGATAGATAGATAGATAGACAGACAGACAGGCAGACAGAGAGATAGAGAGACAGAGAGAGAGAGATAGATAGATAGATAGATAGATAGATAGATAATATTAGATTAGATTAGATTACATTAGATTACATTAGATTAGAAAAGATTAGATTAGATAGATCGATGGATCGATAGATCGATAGATCGATGGATCGATAGATCGATAGATCGAGAATTAGATAATTAGGCAATTAGGTAATTAGGTAAAGAGAGAGTGAGAGATATATATATATATATTATACATAGATAAATAAATAGGCAGGTAGGTAGATTAGTCAGAGAAGAGAGAGAAAGAGAGAGACAGAGAGGAGACCTCACCCCCCTTTCGGTCCATCAGTGGCTTCCCCCTGCCATCCGTGATTCACAACAACATCACTCTCCTATAGGTTTCCTATTTTTGAAACTTCCGCCACCGCCTTGTGCGGTACTCCTGGTATAGGCAGACATTGTAGGATTCGAATGGATTGAACATATGCAATTACCATTGGATAGGCACAGAGGATTCAACAGAGACAGGTCACCTCACCTCGCTTATCTGGGCTCCAAATAAGGCATGTGTCTTACGCGCAGTTGTATCGGGAAGCAGAGCTGTCACTACCCCGGAATATATACCGTGAGATTTTGATATTATAGTAGTGTTAATTTGATGTAGTGTCAACCCCGGATTAATTAAAGGA